TTAATTTCTTCCCTTTGCTCCCTCCCCCTTATTAAGTTCCAGATTGAGACTGCAACTTACCTTGGGGGACAGTAATATATTTATATTAGACCAAATATATAAATTGCTTAACAATTGACATAACAATGAGTNTTCGAATCACAGATGGCTGGTAAATCCGAATTCGCAGTGCAGACGAAAAATGACGAATAATGGATTATAACCTCCTTGCTGTCGAGCAAACAGTAGTAGTTTCCCGTAAATGCAGGTTAGTTTCATCAAGAAGTTCTACACGAAGACTTCTTTGTCCCAATATTTGATCCATGAGGTTCCTTTTCTTCTGGGTTGGGTTCAAAATTAGAAGGCTGCGGAATTGAACGTTCAATATAGTAAACCCAGAATTGGATTGGCTGTTGAATGTCGGATATAAAACAAAATAAAACTGCCTACCACAAATACATAGAATATTTCTGTTTTATTTATGTTACTCATTGTTATGTCAATTGTTAAGCAATTTATATATTTGGTCTAATATAAATATATTACTGTCCCCCAAGGTAAGTTGCTGTCTCAATCCGGAACTTAATAAGGGGGAGGGAACAAAGGGAAGAAACTTACACTTTGCTATCTAAAAACGTGACATATTGTTTCGATGCATTTTCTTAGCTTGAATCGAACAAAACTTTTTCCATGTCCAGCTAAAATGGCAGAAGTCATAAGAACTTTTACGGATAAACAGTCATTATTGTCATTATTTTTTGTGATTATTTTTTTTTCTTCTAATAGCAAGCATTGAATTTCTCGTTCTTCACCGCGGAAGATGCTGGTCATGTTCTTCACTTAACGTTACCCAGTGGTCACCTGTGAACCGAAGTCACGGAGGCGAGCAATATTGTCCACTTCAAACTGCCCAAGACCCGTTCACTTTTTTTTAATTTTTAGTCAAAAATTCTTAGTTTTGTTATTCATTTTTTAATTCTGTGAGAATAAACAATCCAGTTTCTTAATTAGAATACAGCAAATTGCACATTTCTATCGCTTTGCATTTTTCTTTAATTTATATTTCAAATCATGCTCAGTATTTTTGGTTTTCGTTATAAAAATTTTACTTAAATATATTTTTAACGATTCACTACAAAACTGTGTACAACCAAGTTAATACAAACTCTTCACAGAAAACTTGGAAATAAAAAGAGGCGTTACTAGAAAATTTTAAAAAACGATCAATATCTCATTTCAATTTCGAAAAATATTAAACTCTTTTAATATCATTTTTTTTTCTTTGTTATTATTCTTTGTCCCAAGTTTGAACTTAAAAACCTCTTTGGCATTCTCATAAATCACCAAACTTTTCTTGATTGGCGTATTTTTTTTTTTCTCCTTAAGCACAGTGATTGGCCGACCTCGATATTTTCAGGTCAGTAAAGATTTCAGATATCGGAAAATCTGAAATCAATATATACTACAAATTTAAGATATCAACTCAGTTGGTCAACTTTCTTTTCAATTTCAGAAGAAAGGAAGTAAAAATTGAGAAAGAAGGACCAATGATAATGAGTGTTTTTGTATCGAGAAATAAATTGGAAGATTCGATCTGCACCTCTGCAAGACACACGATCTCATCTAATATTGACGGCACTTATTTTAAAAGTGGGTAAATAATGAAATTCCAATAATTGTTCCGAAACTTGAGATTCACTAAAGATTTCGAACCTTTTAATAAAATCTGCTAAGTCATCTTATCGCAGTTTTGAAACAAAACAGCCATTTGGTTTTTACTTTGAAAACTATTTAATTTATTTCCACTCGCATTTTCATTATCGTTCGAAAATGATAAATAAATTACTTTTCGAACGCCTAAGGGATTCGACTTTTGTTTAAAATTACTTACTTATTTGAAAATCGTAATCCGATGAAAGGAAGTTTTAAATATTGATTTATACTTTGCTGCATTGGATTTTGAATAATTTGACAAGAAATAAAAATATAAATTGAGTCTCTTGTAATTCAAACTTAAATAAAAAAAAATTAAAAAGGAAGTAATTAGATTTTAAGAATCAATTCTCTTTTTTATTAAAACCAATAAATTTGCTCTCATCATTTACTGTCGTGTTTCATGCAGTTTATTAAAAATTTTCCCCTACGATTAGAATTGAATTGCTTTATAATGAATTGTTTATATTAGAAAAGAAATATGTATTTAAAATTGCGTACAAAATTACGTTTTTAAAATTTATGAAAAATATGTGTTTAAAATTAAATAGGATAAAATTACAGAAAAATTATCCCTCCCGCAGCGAATAAATAATTGGTTTGTTTATTTTAGCTGAGAATGCTTTTTCCTGCTTAATAATATAATTAAATAGTAAAATTTAAATGTTTAATTTAAATAATAAAAACATAATAAAATTTGCATATTTATTTCAACATAATTATATTTAAAGTAAAGTATGAAACAATTCGAGGTTAAAATACACGACAGATGTGACAAAAAACAATTCGATAGTGTAGTCAAATTAATGTAATATTTATTTGTAAAAGTGCACATGTATGTATAAAAGTATGTGTTTAAAAGGAAATATATTAAAATTATAAAATGTAACCCTTCCCCTCCCCACCCCAACAGAAAATGAATAATTGGGTAAACTTTTACAATGACTTCAAAAAGCAAACGATATCTGTTATGTTTTTTATATCTTTTATATCCTTTTAATACAAATATTTATGCTATTTTCTCAAACAAAATTGAAATTCTGTTTTCAAACATCATAAACACAACTGCAGAGTTGGAGTACAGAATTGAGTGCCTCTGAAATTGGGCATAATAACTTAGAACTTTTACTGAGCATCAAATCTTCCATTTTCCTATTACTTATAAAACGATTTCTAATTATTAGAAAATGTCACTTTTAAGTCCATTTCTCTGTTTTTTGCAAACACATAAACAATAGCCGAAATAATAGGGCATTTCACTTGTAAATATTTACTCAATGCGGGCTTATATATGGCAAATAGTTTACACAAAAAAAGTACGCAATAAAAAATTGACAACAGATTTGGTATTTTGGAGAAGAAAGAAAACAGTACCGTTTTATGTAGTATGTTTTGTGGTTAAAAATTTATTTCTAACTTTAAATTAAAATCTTCAAAACCATAATCTAACTTTATATATAAAATTTTATGATTTATAATCTAACTATATATATAAAATTTGAAATTCATTAGATTTTAATGAGGATGTCTGAGTTTTCCATCGTTGTCAGTGCACTTTTATTGGCCGAACAATCACACGGTGGGATCCAGTTTTCCCACATTAATTTTCATATTGGTTTAGTTGTCATCAGCATAAAATGTAACTTAATTCTACGTTGCATTTTAAGATAAAGTTATTTAAATCAGTGTCTGATTTTATAAGCCATTTTATGATTATTATTTTTCGGTGCTAATTACATTGATATACTATTATGAATTATGGTTAAAGAGAATTGTTAAATGATTAAGAACTCAAATTTTGGCTTCAAAGTGATGAATGTAAAAATTGGCGAGCAAAATAATTAAATTACAGTTGTGAACTCGCCAAATTTGTTATAGCAATTATACTTTTAATTATATTCATGTAATAATGTTATTTCAAAAAATCATTACTTAGAAAAATGATTTGTGTCTACTAATAGATCTTAGTACTGCCATAAGCGAAATATTTGCACGTGGGAAGTAATTGCACAAGTGTCCTTTTCAGTACATACTAGTGGGCTGCGCCCCCTGCTTGCTAACGCTCGCCAACCCCCGAAAATTGCAACGCAATCTTATATAGTTTGCTTGGCAAACCAAGCTCGCTTCGCTCTATACTAACTTAGATACATTGCAAATGTACAAAATTCTAAGAATTCAAAACAATCATTCAGATCCATGTAACAACTTTTTTTTTTAAAAAAATTTCATCTTTTTAGTAAATACTAAGTCATTAAAATAAATTTGAATTCAAATAAATGACATGTAATTCGTTAAACCTATTAGAAATGTGCTATAGTATAAAATCTTAAAGCGTAACAGCACGACTGAGACTCATTTTTCAATGAATAACTAATAACAATAATAAAACAAATAAATTCGTGATATAAATCAAAAATCGTCAAATAAATTCGTAATATATAAATTCGTGAAAAAAAGCGCTTTCGACAAAATACTAAAATAGAGATCTATCGACAAAGACTACTCACTTCTGCCTAGCTTATTAGCATGAGATTGTCGCAGCTGATTCTCTCTAGTTATTTCAGTTTCCGTTTTTAAAAGCGCTATATGTTGAACCACGTCAGCTAGACTTGACATGTGACATTTTTAGCGGCAATCATTGGGCGATTCGCAGTGTAAGAGAAATAGTAACGTAAACAAAACAAACCAAACGTTGCCACAGGCGGAAAAGAAATACAGTCAAAATTTGGGAGCCACGTAAGAGAATTATATATATTAGATATTTCTAGTTGAATACTTTCAGCAGTTTTATGCCAAGGAACAACAATTATTGCAAAGCTATCATCGGGATTGGTAAGCGTCAGCATACAGAGGGCTTATCCCCTAGTGTATAAAAATTCTAACAAGAAAAATTTATCGTTTGAAAATCGTTTTTTTATATGTATATAAAGAGAAGACTGCCATTAAAAATGAAATTCCATGCTACTCAAATAACTTTTTATTTTATATAAAAAGTAAAGTTTAAAAACAAATCAACAACAACAAAAATATCGAAACAAAATGAAAAAGATTATGAACTTAACTTCTTTTTATTTTAGGATTTACCTGGTCTCCTATTTTAATTATATTTACACATTTATATCAACACAGATAATGGAAAAAATATTCTACATAAATAGTGTTCTATTTAAAGCAATCGGATGCTATAGCAACGGTTAACATATTCTAAATCCTTTAAATACGTTTTTCAAAACTGTGCCATAATTCTGTCAACCAATTCGTTTAGAAACTCAGGAACGTTGATTTTTTTTAAATAATAATGCGCCAAATTTAAAACATTTCAAGTACTTTATTTTTAGAAGATCATCAATTGAAAAATGCACAACAATTTCTAACTGTCTATATATTTTCAAACATTTATTACAACAAATAGAACATATAAAACACAGAAGACACTAACAACAAGTTAATAAATAATGTATGGAATTAGTATAATGTTTGAAATTAATAATGAAAACTAAAACTGGGAAAATCTTACAGAAGCATATATAATGATATAAGACATAGTGGTAAAAAACTCACACAATTATGATAAATAAATAAAAATTGATGATTATAGATTAATGAAACTTCATTACTAGTATCATAATACAAGGAAAAAAATATTTTTTCTCCCAAATACCAGTCCTAAATAATTTCATGTATATTGAAGTCATGTGAAGTCTGATAAAAATTTTATTCGATTCCAGCATTAAACATTTTCTAAACATTATATTAATGAATTTTTCCGTTTTCCGAGAACATGATTTGATAGGTTTTTAAAATATATACTTATTATTATTAACATTAAAAAACTTCTAAATGCTAATCTGAATTTTAAAATTAGATTTAAGCAAAATATAGTAGTCTAAAATATTAAACTATAAGATGAAAAATTTTTTACTTTAAAATATTTTCTTTATTTTTTTTAAATTTCAATTTATTTACTATGCAACAAACTTAAAATTTTGCCTTAATTGGATACTTGGATCTCGAGAAGAAATCGAGAAGTCCAAACTTATTTAAATCAGATTTAATTGGATACCTCTAAGCAACGTCACACTTGTGTGTCGGCCCTGGTTGACTTCTAAATTGACAAATGCCATGATTTACCCACTTTGACGTCACTTGCGGGTATCCAGTTACTTAAACTACAATTAAATGCACTATTTATTGTATATGAACAAAAAAAAGTAGATAAATTGCAGTTATTTTACTTACCGTATAGACAAAATGCTTTTTATAAATTATTATAAATTATGACAGGAATCAATTTTGTATAAGTAAATTAATTAAGCAAACAATTAACCATCAAGTGTAATATTTTGGAGCCAAAATATATTCAGGATAAATAATGAATGAAACAATATAAATGTCAGTTTTAAAGCTATGTGAATAAATAAAAATGTTTTATAAAAACAAAAACTCAACTCATCCAAACAAGTGGAGTTAATGTAAAGCATGAAAGAAGTGAAGTTGTCTTTAAAGAAAACTCATAAGTGCATTTAAATTTTTTCTTTGTGATCTTTTGTTTCCACAGAAAGGAGTTGACCTTTATCCGCTTTTTCCTGTTTTTTCGCCATCCATATTTCATTCATGCGGTGAAACAGTTGATAAGGTGGATCATACCATACAGTGTAATAGTAACTCTTATCAATTGTGGGATCCTTTTTTACAAGATTCGCCAATATATGAGATTGTTCTAACCACTCTAATTCTGTTGGTCTTCCTTCGAATATTCTAGATTCAAAATAAATAATCTCGACTCAAATGAAGATTCAAAATAAATATTCTAGATTCAAAATAAATATTCTAGATTCAAATCAGATATTTCAGATTCAAAATACACATTTAATAAAAATTTAACATTAATAAATCGCAAAATTTACGGGAAAAACATGTTCTGACAAATACTTGACATTGTTTTTCAAAGTTATTTCTTAAAAGCCTTTAAAAAAATGCGCAATTTAAGTGCCTTACACTTCTTGTGAAGCAATAATTCTAAACCATATACACGACCCTACAATTATAGAAGAAACGCTTTCAGTTTTTGAAATTGTTTTTAAATTTCAAAAGAAATACTTAGAAAATCATTTTGTAACCTTAGAGGTGATTAGTTCATGCGATTTTTCAAGCTTAGCAATAAGATTTTAGCTTTCAAAGGCCTAAGCGACCTACAATACGAAGGAAAACAAATGTTTATAAACACCCTATGCCGAAAAACATCAAGCAATAAGCTTGTAATTTGTATGGATTACATTGATAGTTATTTTCAATTACTGTATAAAATTTCGTTAAACTTCGCTTTACATATTCGCGGAGATATGGGCATTTTTATAAAAACTAATTTTTCGTCTTGCGTTTCTTTTCCATATCTTTAAAAATATTGATTAAGATTAAACATAATTTTTTAAGCAATTCAAAATTAATTATAAAATTATTGTTCCGAAACTTGAAAAAAAATCGTTGGAACTGCGCAAGATATGAACATTTAAAATATTTCTTCCATACTGCGCAAGCGTGAAAGAAAATTTCTTTTCATACTTTTGAAGTAAATCACATTTGGCAATTAATGAAAAAAAAATCTTATTTCGTAGATCTTCAAAATTCAAAAAGTTTCAAGCAATTTTCAAAGTAGTTTTCGTACTTTTTTTCTTAAAAAAAGAAGCTCAAAACGATAACGGGTTTTCCACAAATTTTATTTTTTATTATCAAACAAGATTTATTAAAAATGGCATCGACCTTATGGGACATCATCCCTTATAAATACATGGGTTTTTTTCACATGTTTTTCTTTTCCTTATACCATCACATTTTGTTGCATGGACGATTTTTCTAGTGTTATTCATTTGTTACTAAGTTTTATCTTGATACAAAAATAAATTTATGGAAAAACCCGTGTTCTTTTAAGCTTTCCTTGGAAAATGCAAATGCTACTCAAAAAATTGCTTGAATTTTTTTAAATTTTCAGGATCAGACTTTTTTCATTATTTTCCAAATACGATTCGCTACACATATATGAAAAGAAATTTTTAAATATTTCCTTGCGCTAGCACAGTACAAAAGAACTACTTTAAATGCTCATACCTTGAGCAGTTTTTAAGGAATTCTTTTAAAATTTTAAGACAATAATTTTGTAATTGAATTAAAATTGCTTCAAAAATTTAATTCAATTATATTTAATACTTCTAAAGATATAACAAAAAAAAACGTAAGACAAAAAAATTTGTTTCGTGTAAAAATCTCCATAAATATTTAAGCGAAGTTTACGAAATTTTATGCAGTTATTGAAAATAACTGTCAAAGTAATCGACACAAGTTATCGAGACAAATTAGCAATATCCGCGTGTAATTAGTTTCGTAATTAGCAATATCCGTGTGTAATTAGTACTTTAGAAACGTTCAATTTTGTGACGCGATGTGTCTTCCTCCAAGAATACCGTATCACGTGTATATTGTTTAGTTAAATTTGACTGATGTATTCAAGGTTATTTGCATTTCAAAATAGTAAGTGTGAAGATGTGGTAAAACTTTTCTAACTGTTGCATTCCTAATTCTGCTTAATATATATATTAAAAAGGAACTTACAAATTACTTATCTTTTTAGTTCATACGAAGTCTATGGCGATCTAACTCTTAAACTCCCTAGCAACTCCCTAGTTTGTAATAGGCAGCTTGGCAATAAGGTAAGTTGTGTGACGTCAGACTAATAGCTTCTGTTTATAAATTTCGTTAATTGAATACTTACAAGTGACGTCGCGAGTGGGTAGGCTAATCAGGCTCGACACAGACACGTGACGTCACTTGCAGGTATCCAATTAAATCTGATCCGAAAATTGATTCAATGGGATAATATACCTAAGCCATTAAAGCTGTAACGTTAACATATTGTGCATAGTCACATGATTCGATACAGTCACATAATTCGACACAGTTTTGTAATCAGTCGCAAGTACCCAATTGGAAAATTGCAGATGAGAAATAAAAGGTAGGCGTAATCTTTATTCATTTAATCTTTGCCACCGAATAAACTTTAAAGCTCAAATACTTTAAATTACCACTTAAAAGCTTTATCGATTCAGCTTTTCAAATTTTAATATTGTGATATGCTTTACCTGACTGCATATTGAAGCGATGGGTCTTTTTCAATGAAAGGAGCTCCATCTAGTGGATAAGGTGAACACCTTGTGGACAGTGGATAAAGTGTTCCTTTTGTCACCGCATAAACTTTGAAGCTCAAATTCTTTAAATCACCACTTAAAACCTTCATCGACTCGGCTCTTCAAATATTAATATTGTGATATGCTTTACCTGACTGCATAACGAAGCGATGGGTTTTTTTCAATGAAAAGAGCTCCGTCTAGTGGATAAGGTGAGCACCTTGTGAACAGTGGATAAGGTGTTCCTTTTGTCACAGCATAAACTTTAAAGCTCAAATACTTTAAATTACCACTTAAAACCTTCATCAACTCGGTTCTTTAAATATTAATATTGTAATATGCTTTACCTGACTGCATAACGAAGCGCCGGGTCCTTTTCAATGAAAAGTGCTCCATCTACTGGATAAGGTGCGTTTTCGCCTAATTCGGATGGAATGAGGAAGGACATAATGAATATGGAGGCACAAGTTGCACCATGGCACGGTACAATACGAGTTCGAATCGGAGTCGTTGTGTTTATTTTCATTCCTAAAATCCATTAAAAAGAAATACTATTTAATGTAAAAATATTGCTATTTATTTAAATATATAATGAACTACTAAAGTGACGCTGTTAGATTATCTATAGTATATAGTAGGGCAGGAAAAGTAAATGTATTTCAAGTTATGCAGGTGTTTCAGAATAAATTTCCTTAAAATTTATTTTTAGAATCCTTATCAAAAATGAAAATAAAAAGTATGGACATGGTCAGTCACAAATTAATATTTAAGCGAAGAATAAACAAAAACGCTACAGGAATCTGACTAGTAATTAATATGACTGAAGTAATTAATATTAAAACAGTTTTAATTGGAGTTTGAAACTTGAAGTTGTTTATAATTATCTTTTTTCACTGTTTCTTTCGCATTCTATCTAGTCTTGCCGTTTATTACATCCTCCTTCCCTTACCATGATTTATCAAAATTTAATAGCGTTTTTGTTTTACTACGATTGAATATTAATTGACGACCCTCCATTATTATTATTATTTCTGTTTTTCTTTTTGATAAGAATTGTAAAAAAGCATAATGAGGGCAGCCTTTACTGAACACTTACAATTTATTCATATTTTCATAAAATTATCTTCAATTTCTTTTTATCTTCAACAATCAAAAATTATCAATCTTCAGTTCCTTTTATCTTTAACAATCAAAAATTATCAATCAATTACCTAAAATTTTAGCAATAATGAAACCCTTCTATTTCAGGATTCAAAATGTCATATTCACTATTATCTTTGCAATTAGGGATCCCAAAAAGTACTGATTTTTGAATATATTCTAAAAATATATCACTGGTTTGATGAGTTTTTTTCCTCGCCTTATTTGATTAACAATCCTGAACGCTTAAAATCTGACTTCATATTTACAATTAGTCATATTGAATTTCAAATCAACATTAACTTCGTATTAGCAGTCAGTGACTCCATAAAATATGAATTTTATGAAACGCTTATTATTAAAACCATATATAATATGAATTTTATAGAACGCTTAAATATTTTATCCAGCTTTTTATAGCTTCCAACCAATTATAATTTATTTTCCAAATTACGGTTACAATTATCTATAGTTTTTTTTACGCTTCCGATCAACTTGTGATGGAGAAAAAATATAAGAGGTCATAATTTATTTTCTAAATTACGGTTACAATTATCTATAGCTTTTTTACGCTTCCGATCAACTTGTGATGGAGAAAAAATATGACTGGTTATAATTTATTTTCTAAATTACAGTTACAATTATCTATAGCTCTTTTCCGCTTCCGATCAACTTGCGATGGAGAAAAATATAACCGGTTATAGTTTATTTTCTAAATTACAGTTACAATCACATAAAGCTTTTTTCCATTTGCGATCAACTTGTGATGGAGAAAAAATATGACTGGTTACAATTTATTTTCTAAATTACAGTTACTGTTACATAAAGCTTTTTTCCGCTTCCGATCAACTTGCGATGGAGAAAAATATAACAGGTTATAATTTATTTTCTAAATTACAGTTGCAATTAAATAGAGCTTTTTTTCGTTTCCGCTAAACTTGTAATGGAGAAAAAATATGACCGGTTATAATTTATTATTCAAATTACAGTTACAAATATTTTTAGCGTCTTCTCATTTTCGACAAACTTGTGATCGAGAAAAAATGTAACCGGTTAAAATTTATTATTTAAATTGCAGTTTTAAATATTTTAAGCGTCTTTTCGCTTCCGACTAACTTGTGATAGAGAAAAAATATAACCTGTAATAACTTATTTTCAAAATTACATTTACAATTATCTAAAATTTGTTTTTTATGAAAATGATTTTGAAAGTAGGCTTGGTTACAGATTCCCAAACAACTTTGGATAAACATTTTTTCTTACTGGGTCGGCAAAAATTAATATCAACGAGTCTTAAAATACTCAGATTTGATGATTTCATAATTTTGTTCAAGTTAATTAATAATTACTTTTCATACTACACGTAATTATTATCTAGACACAAATATTAATGCTTATTTAAAATTGTTATGCAAATAAACAGTGAGGAAATGTTAAGTAAATACAGCTGTTATGATTGTGTACAATTATAATATCCCATGAAAGAAACTTCTCATCGCAAATTTTTTGCCACCTTCATAAGAAATTTAAAATTTAAAGTATAGAAAAAGTGACTTCCGATAAACCTTGAATAAGCCATGACTTTTCAAATACATTAAAAAAAATTTCCAAATATGAAACTGCAAACAACTTATTGGAAGGAAATTTCTCCATTGCGTTATCCTAAGTTATCTTCTCATTATTTATTTTCATTTGATATTTTAAAAAATTTTCTTTTCAGTATTTGAAATTTCATAGCTTACTCTAGGTTTATCTGAACTCCCTTTTTCTATACTTTAAATATTAAATTACTTATGGAGGTGAAAGAGAATTTGCGATGAAGAATTTCTCTCATGGTATGGCATCCTCTTATGAAATTTTCTGTGTCTATCTATTTTACCTTTAGCATTGTGCCCCTGAACGTATGCAAACAGCTTTTTATACATCTCGTTATTGGCTTCCGTCAATGAAGATCCTTCAGCAGTTGTACTAATCCATGTTGCAGGAGGAAGTTGTCTTTCTTCATAACCCTGAATGACAGAAGATCATAAGATTAGTCATAACTTTAAATTGCACCGAACAGGGTGTTCTCAAAACACCGTTAGTAACATGAATTCATTTTGCAAATTTTCGTGTAGTAGCTTTTTACGCAATTTAACTATTTAAATTAAATATGTTTCTCGGAAGGAAAAAAATTCAACTTAACTTAAAAGTTCTGATGATTTTCTTTCAATGTGGAAATTATTTAGAACTCATCTCATACTTGCTAATTAATTAATTTTAATAACCAAGCTCGTCAAGATGGTCACCAAATTATATTATACAACAGGACTCGAAGTGTTAAGAGGATGCTGTAGAGAGAGAGAATCTTTTCATGACGAATTCTGTTTTAACGACACTAAAAATTTCATATTTTAAGTACAGAAAAAAGTTAGTTCATGTAAACCTTAAATACAACATAAAATTTCAAATGCCTAATCCCTTCCTTCTCGCTCACGTGAAAATGACGGGATGAGGTTTCGCCCTCTATTTCTCGCTCCCGCGAAATTTCCGGGTTCAGTAGTAACGAGCCAATAAGAATAAAACTAAATCCTTTCTTTTGGCCGGAAAACATTTTATTTCTTGTTTTACAGACCATATGGTAGTAGCTGGATATTTGTAAGGTAAATGTAGATAGTTAGTTTATTTTAAACTAGATGTCAGCACTAATCAAATACGTAATACTAATACAAAAGTCAAAAAATGGGCACTTTTATGACCGTTTTCTTGAAAATTAACCGATCGTTAAGGGGTTAAAAAAAAATTCTTCGAAATATCAAAATTCAAACATATTATGAAAGGATTACTCAGGATTACGTAATAGGGAAATAATCCTGCCATTATTTGTTTGCATTTTGATAACTTGCAAAACTATTTTTCAGCATTTGAAACCTCATGGTTTATTTACGGTTAAAAAGAACTCCACTTTTTTCTACACAAAATTTTTAATCCCTCTTATAGGTAAAACAGAATTTGTCATGAAATGTTTCTCTTCTCATTTTAATGTTATGTAGATGATATTGGAACCATTAAAACCTTATCGAAACCATATTTTTAATTCATATTATCAGTTTAATTAACAATTGTATTATTTGAATTAAAACACATTGCCACGAATATATTTTAATTTTTCTACATTCTTTTCTGGTTTTAATCAGCAAAAAGTTATTTTTACTACATCTGTTAACATTTCAAAAATAGGGCATATTTTTCGTGAAAAAAGTGGCGAGCAAAAATTTCAGTACTATAGTCAGGACTCTGATTTCATTCCCACGCATCCGGACGACCCCTTACATGAGGGTCAATAAGTGAGAGACACGAGAAGTTGCGTTCCCCTATTCGTGGAGGAGGAAAGAATTAGAAGAGGACTCCCTCGTGAGAAATTAGATTAATTATGGACTTGAGACTGAGTGAATATAGATGAAGACGAAGGGAGTACTGTGGTTCCAGGAACTGAGTTTTCATTTGATTCAAAAATTTGTATATTTGCAAATATTTATCAACCCAATAATCCAGAATCTAAAATAAATCTGTATACATGATAACTCCTCGCCATCGTTCTAAGTGTACCAAAAACGAGCAGCAAATTTCACAAAGATGATATCACAACTATTATCTCCAAAATGGAAATTTTCATGGTCAGCTATAAGTTTATTTCGATTACAGATTTGAGGTCTATTAAGTTGAAAAACTTTCACCTCTCACCTGACACTGCAGCTGCATCTGTGCTAGAGATAGTAGCTAAAAGTACCAGCCATTGCAAAAACAACGCATATAGTACAGAGTAAAAAGTATAAATGACATACATTAACATTTAGCAACCGACGCACGGAAAAAATTACTCGAAGACGAGATATGTAGTTCATAATGATAGCTATGTCCAAAGTTTAATGTAGTTTTAACAGACAGGCAATTTGAAGCGCTAAATGGAAGGAGGTCCAACAAAACAGCTTTGACAAATGAGAGATTTTTTTTGAAGGATCTACTTTTGTCTTATTTAACTATAAAACATTGCTTAATTTTGATAAATCATTAAATTTTGTTGTTCCTTGTGGCAGAAGGCTCCAAGGGCATTTGGCAATTTGACAAATAACCATAGAAAACCTTCCCTTAAAACCCTCTTTTTTAACTGCAGTTGGCCCTGCTGAAGTAACATCACAGATTTACGCACCACGCCACGAAGTGTGAAAATAGCATGTAAAGACTTCTTATTATATTTTACTTTTGTACCTAGGCAATACCTCACTTCTAAATATAACATACAGAAGAAACTTGTTTAGACTTTCAAAACATATTAAGCGCATTTAAAATATTCATTTCGTGGTATTACTCTAATACATGTAAATAGAATAATGTAATGTAAATAGAATTTTGGTCTATAGGTGAATGGAGTTTTAGCCCGAAGCAGATTGGGTAATATTCCATTCACCGTTCCAATGTACTTGTTTGGAGCGGTTACCAAACGGTATCATGCTGACGCCGGCTAATTACGGCGATCGTACAAACTGGACAGCACGTTCTTGCCGTCTAAATACGACTCTCGGAACGAAAGAGCTGAAAACTGAGTGCGAACACGAGGACTCAAACAATTAGACTACAGTCAAATTATTAGACGCACTATAAGAGTTAATCTTAATTAGCAGCTGATACTATACAGCTTTATTGTAACCAGTTTGCACTTGCTTACGTTCGTGAATCAATTGGTCAAATGAGCCGATTGATAATATAAATTCGACGATTGGATAAATTAGACGATATATTATATACATATAGAATATTTATTATATCTGGTATTATATTAGTATATTATAATAATTAGACCAAATTATTAGACACACTGTAGTGCTTTAATAATTGCATGTTTGGCACGAGTTTATATACAATACTTTTACATTTAAACATACATGTAATGGGGCTTTATTCAGGAGATTTTTTATATACTTCCTATTTGTATTTATTTTTAACGTATTGCAGTACAATGTTAACCAATTGAGACACGAACATAAACAAGTGTAAACCGGTTTCAACCGTGTAAAAACAATCAAGCTGTATAGTATCACCTGATAATTCAGATTTTACATAGAATCTTACAGTGCGTCTAATATTTTGGTCAGGGACTATAGATCGAATATATTTTCAGATGGAAGTTGAATTGAAAACAAGCAACAACAACAAAAAATAGAAGAAGACAAAGGATGAACTTAATCCCCTAATGTCAACGCATAAATTTTATGGCTAATTTATTCAAGTTTACTAAATTATGACTTTGAACCCTCTTTCAATCCCTTCTTGATTTATAAAATACATAGTCAAATTCTTCCTCCATAACAAAAAACATACATTTCTTTATTTGTTAAATAAGTTTTGTGAAAAAAAAATTAAAAAATCATTTTAACCATAACAAAAAATAATTTGTAAGATTTAAATATTAAAAGCTTACTAATTATTGTATTATAAAATGACAATCTAATTAAAAATCACAAAATAATAAATATCCTTCCACTTTTCACTACTATTTAAAGATAAAGAAACTAAGTTTGCTTTAATTAGCTTTAACTTACAGACATAAATTAAGATCAAAGTATTCAGTTAATTATTATTTTCTATTTCAACCAGTGAAATAATTATTAACGCAAAAAATGTACTCAATTTGATTAATTATATTTTCAAAAAGTTAATTGAATTATTTGTTTCCAGAGTCTTGGGACAAAAGTTCTAATCTCCATATCTCTGCAAACACGCATTATAATTTAAAAACGCATTTGTTTGAATATTTTAACTTTTTTTATAACAAATCTGATTTGTTCTCCTCTAATTTACGAACCAAAAATATTTGCTTTAATTAATAAAGTGACATTTTATCCAACAGAGTGATAATATCAATACAGCTTGAGATAAAAATAAATCACTATTGTTTTCCGCTATGCAGGATAAGAATTTGCGCTTTAATAATTTGAATTAAGCCATTTTTTTTTCTATTTTAAAATATATTTTGAAAAAGGAAGCACGAATATTGATTTAACTTCAGGGTTTGTTTAATCACGCATTCAAACTCTAAAACAAGAAAAATTTTCAAAATGTTGTTGCTTTAGATATAATGAGTTTTACAATCTTTTGAAGTATTGTTTTTTTTATTAAAAATTGCTTTTAAACAATGTTCAATAACAATGTTACTTTTATTTCAGATTGCCTGCAGGGCAAGAAAAAAAATCTTAAGTAGCTGTTTACCTGATGTCGACTAATAACTTGATATTCAATGCACTCGACACCTCTTCTTGAGCATGCGCAGAAACAGCTATTAATCTGGAAAAAATGGCAAAATAAAATAAAGATGAATTGCGGTAAGTGGTTTTACATAAAAGCTTGGAAAAATTTCGTTTTTTAAAAAAATATATATCGTAACTATTGCTGCAGGAACTTGTGAAAATCGTTTCTTTGTATTTTAATCCGTGAAGTCTGTCAGTTTAAAAAGATTAAATGGGTTTTGAAGAGTTTTCGTTACCGATATCGAAAAGTTTCAACTTAAGTCAAGAGTTTGTTTTTGTTCTCTCGAAAATTCACAGCTCAATACTTTACTTAGTATCGGGATGATTGATTATTCCGAAAAATAACTTGATTGTAAAAAATTCTATTCTCTTCTAAAAATAAAAATAAATTATCGAATAATATATTCGATTTTATTTTTTTCAGTAGGAAAAAAAAATAATCAAAATGATGGTTCGAAGTTACAATGGCAACCGTTGGCAATAGTCGGAAGCAATGATTCCCAACTCAGTTTGGTTCGTTACCCTTTCACGGTGGTTTCCGTTTTCAATCGATGGTGTTTTCAATATAAATGTAAACAACAAAAATCTTGAGCTCTTGACCTGCTCTACTTCCAATTGGAACGCATACAGCTGCCTACTACAGCTTATTCTGCGAGGAGATATTTTCAAACAGATAATTTTTTTTTAATGAGAAAAATAAATTATATAATTTTTGAGAGCAAATCTACTGTATTTCATAAGATATTAGGTAATTCTAGTGAGTTTAAAGTAAAAATTAGATTTAGTTATGTATTGATGTATTGTTAATAAAAGGTGACATGGTTGCTAGATTTAGAAAGAACTCGCTTTTTTGGCAGTCCCGATTTGGCCTCTTTTAACTTGTCTATTACTGTTCGGTCTTGTTGCAAGCCGTGCACCATCATATGTTAGTGTTAGTTTATTGTTCGAACAGCAAGATAAATTCATTTTACAAATTATCATTTAGGTTTGAATTTCGAAGTTGCTATATTGTTGACGAGGAAAGAAGTGTTTTATAACGATTCTTCTTTTTTTTCAAATGACAATTCTTACTTCTTGAAATGACAGGTCTTCAAAGTATGATTATTTTTTAAACACAAATAATAAATCAGGTTACAAATACACCTATACAAGAAATACTATTCAATAAGGTCTCAGAACTCAATGATCACGTAGCGAGCCAAATGCTTCAAAATACACCAGAAACAGTAACCCGGAAGTATAGGCAGTAAAGAGCTTGCAGCGCTCTTAGTGTAGAAAACACTATCCATACGAATCTAAACAAAATCAAATCTCGAGCTCCTCATTTTCGCCGGTTAGAAAGTTTACAGCTGCTTAACGCAGCTTAAAGTGCAAGAGATAATTTTGTTTTCAATAAAATAAATAAATAATAACATTTCTGAGCTCAAATCAGTCACATTTTGTAAGATATTATTGATATTAAGTAATGCTGGAGTTTGAAGGGAAAATTTATTTTAGTTTTTTAGAGATATATATTATAAAAAGGAGATATGGTTGATGTGTTTAGAAAGAACTTGTTTTTTTTTTTTTTTTTTTTTTTTTTTTTTTTTTTTTTTTTTTTTTTTTTTTGGCAGTCCTGATTTGCTTTTTTTTTTTTAATTTCAACTTAAATTACAAAATATTTATGCACTACAATCAAGTAATCATGTAATCAGGCATTGAGTAATTGACGTTATTGTGGTTCAATTTGACATCACACGGAAAATTAAATAATCCTAAGCAATTTTATGCTTCAAAAGGTACGAATTATTTTAAGAATGTAAGTCTAGATATTCCAGTACGCCATCAAAATTTTATGAAATGCTATTTCTGAAAGTGCTGATACTCTACGCAACATGGATTATAACGCTAAAACAATATATTTCCAGTACTGAACAGAGTTCAGCTAAGTTCTGGGTAAAGTTCAATTGCTCTAAGAATAGCTGGCTGAAAAATAGTTCATAATTTTATCCAAAATTTACACAATGGTTCTAGGATGAGTTTGTGTAGAGTGTTATATATCTTCCCCAATCAAAATTTTTGATGGTTTTCTATTGATGGACCAACATAATCTTGATGGTAACCATCAACAATTCCATCGTGAACCATTATATTTTCTGATGGTAACCAACATAAGTAACCATCACCTCAATGTAGGAATTCGGACTCATTTATGATGGTCCAACATAAGAATAGCAACTTGTTTTAATGTTTTTTTTATATTGAACAATCACGAATTTCCATCATAGTATCTTGGAAATCAAATGTTGGAGCGATCATAAAAAACCATCATCCCAACGTAGGAATTCAGACTGATTTATGATGGTCCAACATGAAAAAACCTAATTTGTTCTGATGGTATATTCCAGAGAACCAACAAGAATTCCCATTAAACCATCATCGAAATGTATAGTTGGAACCATCACGAACCATCACGGATCATCATGGATTGTTGGTCCATGAGAGTCAAACTTCTCTTGACAGTTAACCATCATAGTATTAAAGTAGCATTTTTTCCATCATGGAATGATGGAATTTTGTGGGCGCATCAAAAACTACGAACACGTAATGAAAAATGCCTGATGATGGTGACCTTCGCGAATCACACTGAAACCAACATGATCCATCAAAATATTTTGATTTGACCATCAAGAATCTTGACTTGAGTTTTAAGGTATCCAGCATTGAATTTAAAGTTGATGGTTAGAGTCCAATCAATATGCATTTGGCTTTGTGGCTGCTAGCGTATAGTAATTGGTACAGAGTGCAAAAAAAAAAAAAAATAGAAAACCCTGAATAAATTTTGAACTAATGATCGGTTTTTCAAGTACTAGAACTCAATCTTAATGACTTATGCGGGAGACACCAAATATTCTAACTAATTAGTACTGACGATATTTTAAGTAACGCTGAAAAAGCTGTAGATTTAAAATTCGATTTCTCGAAAACTTTTCGACCGATTTCGTTCAAATTTTGAATTAATTAAAATTATTAACATATTTATTAAAATGCGTTTTTCGGAAGGAATTATGTTTGATTAAATGTATTTTATTGTTGTGTGCAAAGATTTTTCAATTTGATCAAAAAGTTCACGGGATAAGGTGAAATGTACAAAAAGTAAAATTAACATTAAGGAGTCCTAACATTCGACAGTTCCCCTGACCAAACTATTGTGAAGATATCCCCCAGATTGCTTTTTATGAATACTTAAGTTTTTCTGTCACTATTATTTTAAAATATTAATTTAATCAGCACACTTTCGTTTAATTTATGAAACTTTGAGCGTGTTGAACCGTAATATCGATCAAATTTGCTACCACATTAATATAGTGCTTTGCACCAGGTTGTACCAGGACTCAGGTACTTTTTTTAACTTTATCACACGATACTATGGTTCAATTTAAACCTAAAGAGGGTTTAACACTTTTGGTTTGTTTTAACCAATTGACGCCGTATTATGGAATCAGGTACTGATTTTGTGGTTCAACGTTGAACCAATCTTTTGAGAGTATAAGATCGAACTAAATATTTAGATTAGTTTTATTTACAAGTTTTCCATGGTTCGTTTTTGTTTTGGTATTAAATACCAGCAGCTACGGTCATGAAACTTTACATTTAAATGATTCGATGCAATAAATACATACTTCTTAGTTAATTAGTAGGCTAATAAGTGTCAAAATGTAGTAATGATCAACTTTTTTTCTAGTCATATACTCGATTTTTAATCTCTTACGTGGTTCTGTTTAAAAATAGATTCTTCCCGATATTATGAGAGTTGTTTATTGGTTTTCTAAGGATTTCATCAATAAATCTGGCTGATAGTGATAATAAATTCCTCAAATAACCTCATTGTGATTCATTATACCAGTCTCTTTGTATTAATACCCATGGTTAGTTGGTAGATGTAAGTTAATTATAATAATAATATTTTACCAGAGTGGCTATTATCATTAAACTTCCAACTCCCAGATGAATCATAGTGGAATCGCAAAATCTGAAACATAAATATTTTTTCAGAACATTTCTAACAACAAAATAAATAAATAAAAAATATATCACTCCTAAATCAAATTTCATTTGAGTTAGTGAGCTAACAATGATTGTTAGGTCATTCTGACGTCATCCGCCTAGAAAAATTATCAAACAACTGTATTATCAGGAATTACTTCTGTTTCTATTACAACTCTCTACACATAATAATTAAAAAGCGAAAATGTGCGAGCTTTTTAAGGAGAACCGAGTCTTTTTAATTGTATTAATTAAACGGGTTTTTAATATTATTATTTTTTAAACTAATTATTCTCTAAATACATAGTTAAACTTTAAAAAAATGTGTTTGTTTATTGAAATTAACCGGTACTTTGGGATAACCTCATCAACAATTGTCGTACTTCAGAATTATCCCATCGGCCATTTTCGCCAATCGCGATATTATTGCCAAAAGGTAGCTTCTGTTCCAATGACAGTAAATTTTACTACATTTACTGCGTAATTCTTGACTATGCCAGTTAGTTTTCTTCTGCGTGTTGAAATAAACTTTTTTTTTTTTCAAACTCTGCTGCATATGGATAAGAATTTAGCATGTAGTGGCATATTTTCAGTGCAGTGGTTAGATTCAAGAATAATTCAATCTGTAATTACAAAAAAATAAAAAATAAAAATAGAGGTTTTTACTTTTTTGATTCTTTTCATTGCACTTTTTAATTACGTATTTTTACACTTGCATTTTTTGTTGTTATTATTTTATTATTATTATTATTTGATAAATGTACTTCGTTTAGAATGTTTATTTTGGAAATTGCTTTTCATTGTGATGGCGCCGAAGGATTTGTGCATTTTCACAAGCATTGACAAGTCGATGGGATAATCCCAAAGTACCAATTATTAACTCCATAACACTGGAAAAAACTGATTTATCACCTATATTTCTATTAAAGATTACTACATGTACTAGCCATCACAATCAACCGGCTTTGTCAACTTTTAAAATTATCGTAAGCAACATATAAACTTCAATGGTAAGCCGAATTCACATCCGAACTGTATATAAATATTATACTTCTTCAATCCTCCTCTTATTTTTACACGTTTATTAGCTTCAAACAATACACTAACCAAATTTTTTTACCATCTAGCTGTTAGCCGATGCGAAGTATTTTGATTTGACTTTTTTAAACTCTTTTTAAAACACTCTTTTTTTTTTCTTTATGTCCACAATATTTACAATATTCTTTATGCATTGAATCTTGGTAGCAATTTACCTAATTTTTTTTTCCATCCAGCTGTTGCTCGATACGAAGCATTTTGGTTCGAATTTTTTAAACTCTTTTCAAGAGATGTCCACAATATTTTCAATGCTCTTTATGCATTGAATTTTGGTAATAATTTACCAAGTTTTTTTACTCCATAGCACCGTGTATGTTTAAAATTTTTACAGCCATTTTAGAAAGGATTAAAAAATATGAAAATAATTACTTTATAACTGATTTTTTATTTCTATAAAAATACAAAATTATTCTAAATAAATTTTTAGCGTATAAGTAACTGTTCAACTCAAATTATTACTTTGGACAGCCAAACAAAATGAATAGAAATAAATACTCAACCTATAAATGATTTTTTAACACTACTCCAATTTTTACTTAAGAGAACATAACAATATGAATAGTAAATATAGTGTTGCAAATAGATGAAGAAATAAACGAATTTATAATGCCACATAATAGAAATATGTATAGATAATACAATTGTATGGTAAAAAAGCAAAAATGTTGGAGTTTTTAATGAGTCCTTGTCCTTCAATTTATATCCTACCCTACAATCCTACCCTGTTTTACTTAGTATACCATAGTTGGTCAATATTAAACTACTAATGGTTGATTATTAATAAGATCAAATTAAGCCTTTCAAAGTAAAATTTGCTTTGCATTAAAAAGTGATGTATTGAATGAATAAATTGTAATTTTCTTTGATTGTCAAATTAATAACACGTCTTTTAAGAAAAGAATGCCGGCTTATTAGCCGATTCTAGTAAATTTAAAGACCCACCACCTAAAGCGGGATAAGAGAGACAACTGCTTCTTTTATTCTTACCGCCTAAAATTAGACAATTTTTCCACCATCTCAAACAGTTCTAACCCGTAATTGCATAAGAATTTTTTTTTGAACTGCAGACACTAAATTCTAGTTTATTTGTCCTAGAATATGCAGGAAGCGTTGCTCTTTAAATTTACACGGTGGGCACCTGTAAACCTTAGTCACGGAGCAACATTATCCACTCAGAAGCAAGTTCATAGGGTGAGCCACATTCATAGGGTGAGAACAACCCAGAGAAATATATTAATTCCCTCACCGAGATTCGAACCCGCATCCATTTGCTCCTCAGTCAGGCACGCTTACCGCTCAGCTACCAGGCCGGCATTGCATAAGAATTAAATAAATTATAAATAAACCGATAGTATAAATATGGGAAGGAAATGAAAGAATTACATTATAATTATAATTAATACAGAAAATTGGTCTAACAGAGAAGACAGGGGAAAAAAAGAAAGATTTTACGATATAAAATACAAAATTATGGAGATAACATTAATAAATGAATAATAGGGAGACAAATAAGTCAAAGAATTCGGGGAAAAAATGATAAGACAATATTTTAAGACGTATTATAAGATATATATAGACAATTAATAAGACATGTAAATTGATGCAAGAAAATAAAATAGTATTAAAATTAATGTGTATATATATATATA